TAAGTCTTTTAAAAACAAAAAAAAAAGGATTAAGACATGGGAATGAACCTTGACGGTAAGATTGTGAAAATGCTTAGAGAGACATTTATTCTAGTGCATATGTCGAATGAAAGTTTTATTATTAAGAACAAAAAAACACGCATGTTTATGTGATTTTTAATTTTAGCGGAATTTCAACGAGCTGTAAAAATTTCAACTGGTTTTGAACTTGAATCAAATATAATTGCTCTTATATTTCGAATTTTTGATGCAGATGCTGATCAACATTTGTAAATAAATTATTTTCTATAAATATCAATTCAAAAAAAAAAAAAGAATTCAATTTTCTTTTAGAAGTTATGATGAATTTATGTCTGTTATGAAAAATCGACTTTCACGTGGTTTTCAGGTTTTGTTCTTTCTTTAAAACTTTTCTCATATTGAATTATTTGATTTTTCTTTGAAGACATCTGATTCTACTGAAGTATCAATTTCAAAGTTTGATCAATTTAAACGTTGTTTTCGTGATCGAGCTAAGTAAGAGAATCTATAACTGCTTTAAACTAAAAAAAAAAAACACAACATTAATTTGTTATGAAATGCTTTATTGTTATTGCATGTTAAAAAAAAGCTAATGCATTTTTGCAAACTTCATATATTTAGAGAATACTGATCAATCTACATTTGATTAACTTTTTAATTTGATATATATGTAATTTTAAATGCAACTATATATCCATTTTATTATATGAATGACTTTGGCTCAAATGCAAAAATAAAATCAATCAACTTATTTTTCTTATTGTTCATTCTTATACATTTATACATTCTGAATTTGTTTAGATCAATAATCAGAGAAGAAAAAATACGGTTTGGCTTATGGAAAAAAGAACTTTTTCTATAGCATAGTTTGTTTTTTTACATCTATCATCATTTTTATGTATTAATTTTTATTTTTGACCCAATATATGCATATTTACCTTTGTAAAAAAAAAACAATTAATTTTCTATTATTCGCTTTCAGATGTACACATCTCTTGAAGATGGACAATGAGTTAAATTTATTTCGAGAACCATTGAGTAACAGCGCGTAAGCAGAAAAAAGAAGTCATGTATATTACATCTTATTTTATTTTTAAAATCTTTTAGTTCTATTGAACAACGACAACAAGAAACAAACATTGTTGTTGATAATTATTTATCATCATCATCAACTTCATTATCGGATATTAATAATGAACATAAACAACAATCTCTTGAAACACCAGTAACAAATATTAAAAAGAAACGTACGAAATGGCATGTATATGATACTATAGCCAAGTTTTTATTAAAAAATCGTTTTTATTTAACTGCTCTTGAATTTTATACTGAATTATTAGAAAATGGATATGATTTACCACGTTTACGTGAATATTTTTCTAATCCAGCTAATTTTGAAGGTTCATCAATAACATCAAATAATAAACAATCAACATTTATTCGTAATCTTACACATTATGCTGATGATTCTGTATCACTTGGAGGTGGTGGATATGGTGATTATCTTCCTCGAACATCAAGTAGTCAAACATTTGATTCAACTTCTATTGATAATATAACACGTTATTCAGAAGATATTGATTGGCATAATGGAAATGGTAGTGGTGGAGCAATGACAAGTGCAAGTGGTGTTGGTGAATTACGTTTTAATGATGAACGTGTTGCTGTTTTAGAATTTGAATTAAGAAAAGCACGAGATACTATACAAGAATTACGACAAACATTAACATATGATTCAGCAGATGAACAACAACAACAAAATAAAAAATCAGAAGACAGAAATGGAAAATATCAAGGTGAATAGAAATTAAATTTGTATATGATTTTTACAATTGTAGTCATTATTTGAAAGAATGATAATGAATTTGTTGAGAATTTTTTTATTATAGGCAGAAAAACAAGAAAATTTTAGTATTCGTTGAAAATTGATATTTTGTCTATCGTTCTACTTAATATTCTAACCTTGCATATATATTGACTCGTAATGCTAATGAAATAAATTCTGATTAGTTAAAATGAGAATTTTTCTATACACCAACTGATCTTGAATAATTGATAACAAGAAAAATTATTACTTCTTTGACGAAAGTTTACAAATAATCAATTTATTTATTAAAATATTGTAGTGTATAAGATTTAGTGGATAAAATTTCTAATCGAATATTTGAATTAGTCTTTGTGATCTTTTTCATTTCGCTGGAATTTTTTTTTGTGAAACTAACATACACCTTCGAAGAAAATAGTGAGTGTAAGTTTAAATCGAGGTTTTGCGGCTCTTTGTCTCCCTAGGTTTCAGCCACTAGAGTCAAAGGCCAACGGGCATTATATACGTTTCAATAGCACTGACTGCCCTAGAACTTTCTCGAAACTTGAATGGCTAGAATGTGTTTGTCAATGTTCTAAATAATGCACTGTTTTATCCAGAGGAATGCTCGGGGAGGGGGAGGGCGGTGCTCCCCGAGGATCGAGTTCGCCTCCCCGAAGTTCTGAGTATATACTACGTGAAGTACATGTTTTATCCCTCCGAGACTATTGACTAGCTCCCCTCGGAGTTTCGTATGGCTCTCCGGAGGAAGAAGATGTCCAGAATGATAAGTAGTGGTATATTGATTTACCATAGTCGTTATATGATCTACGTAAAAAGGGTGAATTGATGAAGTTATAAATTAATATCAGTGCTTCGGAGCTTATCGAGATAATTAATAGTGTGTTGAGACATGTTGCAGTTATAATGGATATGTACAACAGTAGCTAAATTAAGAAAAACGAGCGAAGAAACAACAAGACAAATAAAACAGATCGATTATCCTTGAAAAACAATTATAGTCTGTCATAGATTTTTCACTTGATGTATTTTGTATAAACACATGATCGAAGAGTTTTTAGACAAGATTTTGACCCAATAGAAAGTATTTCCGACGAGTTAAGATCAAAATTTTGTGCTCTATTTGAATATAGGCCTAGAAATTTTATCACAGTTTTTGTTCGAGAGTAGTGAAATAATTATTTCAGGCGAACTAAAAACTATGGATCGCGACCAGAGTTTGAATATGGCCCTAGAAATGTTTTGTCTAACTATTCTCAAACAAAAAACATTCCGGTCACCCGTTAATACAATAACGCTAAAGAACATATGTGAATTCTATATTTTAGCTTCGAAGGAGTTGTGCTGACAAGATTTTTTTTCTATAAGACTAAACGAAAATGAAATATTGAGTTCTTTTGTTGTTTCAGTTTATCCATTATCATCAAATTCAATACAATCATTAATTCCATCAGGATTAACTGTTCGTCCATTTGAACGTCGCGCATTAAATTTTTTAGTTAATGAATATCTTTTAACAAATAATTATAAATTAACTAGTGTAACATTTGGAGAAGAAAATGATACATCAGATTTAGAAGATTGGGATAGTGTTGGTTTAAATTGTGCACGACCACCTGATTTAACACAATTATATCGTTGGTATTGTTATCAATTATGTATTGAAGATGAAAAACCTAAAAAAGAAGATTTTACAATGTCAGTTAATTTTGATGAAAATTTTCATGATGAATATAAAAATTTAAAAATATCCGTACAACAAATGGTATGTTTAATTTTTTTTTTTGTTTTACGTTAATTTTCTATTTATAAATAATCTATTTTATATTTATTAGCAATTTGATTTAATTCAATATAATAAAAGAATAAATCATATTGAAGAAGAAAAATTAAATCTTAATGAAGAAATTTATTCATTACAACATGAAAAAAAAAATCTTTTAATACAATTACAACTTTTACAAAATCGTTTAATGTCTGATGAAACATCAAATATAATTAAAATGGAAGATACAATACAATTAAATTCATCAAGACATTTACCACAAGTTTATCGACGTGCATGTGAACATCATTTATTATCTTATCATATTAATGATGATAAACAAGATGAAGAAATTGAATTAAATCATGATTTAGAACAAAAAATTTTTGAAAGTGTTATACATGAATTAAATACACTTTCACTTGATCAAAAAGATTTATTAGATTTAATTGTACGAACTATTATAAAAATTAATTTAAATTTAAATGGATCGAAAAAATTAGTAAGTAAATTTGATCTGTTTTCATGCACTAGAAGAAATAAGTTTATTAGTTGTCAAGATTATTTGTTGAGTAGTTCAATATTTTACTCTAATAACCTTCTAATAGTTGGAAGTAGATTAATCGTTATAAAAGTATCCATAGACTACTCATGTTTATTAAAATTTACTAGTTTTAGTTTGAATTTTTTGGTTTTATTAAATATAATTAAGAAAATAAGTCTAATGTATTTCGTTTTATTGTATATTAATTGATATTTTTAGCTTTCAACAAGGTGAAAAAAAAAACAAAAAACTCTGTATTCCAAGGGTATGTCAAAGCTATCGTCTAGAGCTTCTTAGTTACTTCAAGTTTACTATCACCATATGTCTTGAGGTGTTTTTTTTCCAGACAGACTTATAGTGATAGTAGACTTGAAGTACGGAATTTTCGCTATTTTTCCCCATTAGCTTTCAATCATTTCCCTAAAGACAGACTGTTTAGTATACAAAAAAACTTTTTATCATAATATACTAATGTATGAAGGCTTTTACTATTTTAAGACATAAAGATGGTATAAAATCAAAAGCTGAACAAACATTGATGAGGGAACAAAGAGACAGGTATTCAATAGGAGAAAAGTATACTTTTGTCTATCTCTACATTTATTCAAATTTTTGTTAATCATTTTTATTTTATATATGCATGCTTATTTTATTGCATCATTTTTTATGAATAGTTATGCTTAAATAGAATAGAAGTATATTGCATTTCTTTATTAAAAAAAAAACAAAAACAATCTAGCTATTCTTCTGCATACTCATCCGAACTATATCAATCTCGAGTTAATAGTACAATGACTAGTGAAAAAGAAGAAAAATACACAGAAAGTCCACACTTAATACAAATGATCTTACTAGGGAATATATCCAAGTATGAATCTTCATTTTCAATCGGTTTTTTGTGTCAGTTTGTAGAGCATAATATGTTTTTTTCTATAGACTGTCTTCGAGAAGTTAGGTCGATTCCAACTTCAGAAAAATGACTGAAAACTTAATTTTTTATGTTAGTTTAGTTCTCACTATTGAAAACTTTAACATTAAATGTGTCTTAATTGACTATACATATCCACACAATCAACATCAATAGAATTTCTAACTATGTTTACATGTTTCAGTTATTCGCTTTATCTATGGTACTTTTGTGAAACACGATCTAACAGGAGTGTTGAAGTATATAGGGTAGAAATTTAGATCCCTACCTCCGCCCTTACAGATGGTCACATGATCCATCACAAATCGTAACAGACCCTTTGATACACGATTAATCGATTATATATCACTAGAATCTCATGAGAATATATCAACTGCTTCGTTATTGCATTTCTAGAGGATTAAGTAAAAAATGATGAATAAATAGGTGCTAAGGTATATCGAGGAAAACAATATTCGTGTGATTAGTAACAACAGCTACATCGTGTTTCACATTTTAATCCCGCAGGGATTGCGCTAACAGCTTTTTCTAATAAACATGCGACAAAACAAGCTAAATAGAATGTAGATTATTAAAAACGAGATATTTGACAACGTATTTAAAATAGGTTTCCAAAAGATTATTGATCAGTATTAAAAAAATAGTTCAATTTCATACATTCACAGTATTAATTGTATTGAAATATTCAAAGTATAGACATAGTTGTGGACTTCCATTTATGTTGATCGTGTACGTGTGTGCAGTCAACTAAGGTTCATCCAATAGGTAAGTTTTCAATGCTGAGAACTAAACTAACATAAAAAAAAATTAAATTTCCAAAATAACTGCTTCCAATCATTTGTCTGAAATTGAAATCGGCCTAACTTCTCGAAGACAGTCTATGAGAAAAAAGGTATTATGCTCTTCAAACTGACATAAAGACGTTTAAAAACGAAAGCAGACACTTGATAACCTTCTCTCATTAGAATAAATCATACTTCAGTCTTTCAACTACCTTACGATATCGAGTATTGCCTAGCTTCAGATTCAATAGCCCTATATCTTCCCTACAAATATGACTAGCTGTAGCTCTGGACAGAAGGCCGACCTGACGCATTGCTCTTATGCTCAATTGCTTGAGTTCTCCATACATACTAACTAATTACATACAAGTTACAAGAGCATGCTATCAGATGAGTAGTTCGAGGCAAATAGCCGCCAGGAATTTGTCTAGATTCATTGCACGGTTGTTGATACTGAAGCTTGTATAAAATGTCTTGTGGATATGTGTCGAACAACACAGCCACTCAACTATGATGGCTTTGCTAGAATAAAAACTAAATATTTCATTTTCGTAAGAAGTTTTCATATTGCATACTGTTCAAGTTTTTTTTTTTCATAGTGCTCTTCTAAACGTACTTTAGAATCGATAATCTTATATCGTTTTTTTTTTGTTTAGGATATTGTTCCATTAATAATTTACACATCGATATTACATCCAAAAAATGATGAACGTGATCGTTTACTTAAAACATTATTTAATCTATTTAAAAATCCATCCTATCATCAACGACAAGTTTTATTACATGGATGTCTCTGTTTTGCTAAACAAAGTGGTCCATTACGTGTACATACTGAATTATTACCGCAATGTTGGGAAAATATAAGTAATAAAATTGATGAAAGACGTTGTCTTGTTGCTGAAGCATGTGGAATATTAACACCACATTCGCCTGTAAATTTATTTGATTTAGAAAATAAGAAAATTAACAATAGAAAAAAAAATGTATTGTTCTTTTTTTCTATTATAGAAAGATATTCGTGTTAGTTTAATATTTTCAATGTTACAACAAATGCTTGCTGAAGATAAATGTGATCAAGTACGATGTGTATGTAGTAAAAGTTTAGCAATGGTTATTAATGAAATTGATGATGAAACTCGTTTATCTCCAGTAAAATTTATTATTATTATTATTTTATATAAATAATTTTCTTTTGTTTATTTATTAAAGTGTATTGAATTACTTGATCGATGTTTATCAGATACATCGGATGTTGCACAATCAGCAAAAAAATATTTATTACCATCTATTGCTATGTGGTGTCTTGAATTAAATAAAATTTGTTTAGTTTTAGTTGAACATTATTTAATTAAAATTGAATCTCTTGTTCAAGTTAGTTTATTTTATTATTAGACAATAAAACAAAAAAAAACAAAAAGAATTGTTTTTTTTTTTGCATATTTTAGAATATTCAAACTCCATCATCAATTGATAGTCAACGTTTTATTCAATTTATTTATATATTAACTGATTTAATTGTATTTATTTTTGCATCAGCTTTGAAAAGTATGACATTAGATAATGATCTTTCTCAAGTAATAGCATCAATACGAACATTACCAGATACAACATATTCAGAGTTTTATCAATTAAATACAATTTTATCTCCAAATAGTGATAAATTACTTCATTATTATGATCAATGTGCTATTAAAGGAGAATTTCCATTTACAGATCAAATTCAATTATATTTAGATACTTTGTAAGATAAATCAGAAATGTTTAGATTTTCCTCTTTTTTTTTGTTTTGTTTGTATTATTAGTTTAAAACGTTCATTTGATGTAATGGCAGTTATTGATATAACGAATGGAAAATTAATTCATGCATGTAGTGAATTTATTAAAATGATTAGTCGATATTTTGGAAGAAATTTTTGGAAATTAAAAGTAAATAAAAAGAGATTAATTTTAGAGTTTATGAAAGTAATAATTGTTCAATTGATATTTCGATAGGATAGAGAGGAATAATATCCGTATCTTCGGCTACCTTGTGGTATAAGGTGTTGCATAGAGTCCGTCAGGTCGAAAATTTTCGCATCCGGTCGAACTGTACTTTAATACTCTCAATGAAATTTTCGAATTGAAATTGCATAGTCATCTCGAAGATACTTTTTCTATATTCGGTTCAAAATTTTCGGACCAAATTAAGAGAAAATTTTCAGACCTGGAATCGAGGGAGAACCAACAGAGGCTTTAGTCTTGAAGTTTGCTGTTTTTCCTTCGCCAGGGCCTAACCGGGTTTATTTCAGATCCGGAACCAATCCGACTGGCTTTAATACTGCCTAGCGGCAGATTCATTAGCCTGATATCTTCCTTACAACTAATACTAGCTGTAGTCTTAGAGCGAAGATCGGGCTGACACAGAATTCTTGCGCTCAATCGCTTAAGCTAGTATGAGTTTCATAAATTATAGATCCTTTAAGGTGTGAATACGGATGGAATAGAGGCCTTGCCCTTACCCACACTCTATAATTCCTATTGTTAAAGTTGTAGAAGAGATATTAGTATTGAAAAGTGAAATTAAGTAAATTTAATTTCTCGTACGCCTATGACAAAGGCAAGTGTATTTTATAACTTAGTCAGCATGATCTCGAACGGATGATTCAAGGCGAACAACTGTTAATGACTTCGGTAGGATAGACTAAACTTATTATTTTTGTATATTTCAATAGATCAAACCACTTTATGTTACAATCAATTCGCAAACGTCGCAAGACGAAATTCGACGTAAGGGATATAGAAGCTTAAGAATGTTTTTTTTTATTTATACATAATTTTGTTTTTAGCAACGACCTTTGTTCTTTATGCGACTGGTGTATTATGTGCTTGGACAACAGAACAAGAACGAGCTGAATTGACGCAATATATATATGATGCACTTCTTCTTGTTGCTAATCAAAAATTATCAATAAATACTTTACAAGCAATGTATGCAGAAATTGGGTAAATGATGATATTATTTTTTTAATGTTTGTTTTGTTTATTAAAATTTTAAATACAATTTTTAGATCTGATACAAATTTTCAAGATATTTTATTAAGTATTCTTCGAGATTCTCTAACAAATACAAATCCACAAGTTCGTTTATATACTCTACAATTATTTAATGTAAGTTTCTTTTTTTTTTTATTATTTAAAACACAATTTTTTTTCGTATTTTATTTCAGACTACATTAGCACTTGTCAATCATTCGACAATATCCCAAAAGATTTTACCAGCTTTGATTACGCTTGCATCTGATGATGATATGTAATTATCGTTTGTTTTTGTTCAAAAAAAAAGTATTTCGATGTTGATTATTTTTTTTGTTTGTTTTTGCTATAGAACTGTTCGAACAGCAACTATATCAGTATTCGGATCAATTATTATTCAATGCTCAGAGCCTGAAGTAAGATATTAAATGAAAAGTATGATGTTTATTTCTGCATGTGCCTTTTCAAAGATATAGAAGCACCTTAAGATGCAGATATTTCTGAACATCATTGATTTTCTTTTAGGATGCCTGTAGCCATTCAATTTTTCGATCATTTATTTCACTATGTGTAGATCTACCATAGACAACTCTGAAATTTCTACTATTTAGCTTACTTCTACTATCTTTCGTTAATAGTCTAAAACTGACTGCAGTCAGCACCGAACTCGAAAGTTCGGATACAGTGTATGTTGACTTATATTCTATGCTAGAATAATCCGTCGCATGGCAAAGAATACACAAAAGATCTTCACTCACATTCGTACGCCCGTGATGAATACTTCGGGCACCCTATATTCTAACTCTCTAGTGTTATTAAGAAACGCGCAAAATTTTTGATATTGTTTATATATATGTACACATTTGATTCAATTCGCATTAGCTGCTTAAATAAATTAAGATACACAAATAGGAATAAAAAAAAATACTTTGCCATATTATTCAGGTTTTTTGGAAACATAAATCTAAAACGTGTGATTATCGATATGCTGATTAGATTTAAAAATTTCGCATTCACATTTTTTTCTAAGTAAAGCATTAAAACTAATAACCAATTAGACTAATATATGAAACACTACCATGCATCAAAAGAGATTTATGTAGTTTATAAAATTCGTACACTATAGCGAATTTTATATATTAGTAAATTAAAGTTAGAGTTTTAAGTTATTATTTCGGAATAACTTTCAGGATATCAAAAGAATCATGAGAACTATTATTGGAGAGAATTTTCGGTCGAAATTCCTTGTTACAATTTTTCTCGTGATCTTCTGCAATAGGCTGAAAGTTCAGTAAAAAGACCATAACTCGAGAAGAAAAGCTCAATGACACGAACCACCCTTCCAGAATTTATATCTACACTATGAGTTCTCTCTATGAGTAATGGATGAGCTCCCTCGTCAGTGAGACTAAAGCAAGCTGAAAAGGATTCGAGTCCACAACCTACTAATAAAGAATTATGACCATTTAAATGAAATTCTTACTGAGAGCAAGACATTTTCAAAAAACTCAAAACAAAGAGTTTCAACCTCAAAATTGTATCTATAGACACGTTTTATAGTCATTAGATAGTCCTGAATATTTCAATGAACATTATAAATGGCTGCTTTTTTAGATATTGAATATCTCGAGAAAGATATGATCGTTTTCATTGAAATATTTAGAACTATCTATTGACTATGAAACTTGTCTGTAGGTAAAATTTCAAGTCGAAACTCTTTGTTTTAGATTTTCCGGAAACGCCTTACACTCAGCAACAATCCATTAAAAATAGCTGTAACTTATTATCAGTAACCCATGGGCCCGAATCCTTTTTTAAGTTTCACTTACTTGTAAGTCTAGCATTTGAAATTTGATTCGACTTTTTTTAATCACTTAGTTCAGTCTCTACAGAGACATATACGAAAGTTTGTTTAATCATAGAATGAGAAATTATATCAAAAGATCAAAAAAGAAAACTATTTTTATCGTCCAATTATTTTAATTTTTTTCTTAAATTAGATTCTCGAACGAGTTTATGCTCAATTTCAAATATTTGATAGGTAAATATAAATTTTCCTTTTTTTTACAAACTATATTTAATTATTTTTCTAAAATTCATAGTGATACAACATTTCGTGATGAACATCGTGTTCAAAGTGAATTTATAAAAACTTTTACTCATATTGCACCACATGCTGAAAGTAAATTTCGTGAAGATTTTATTCTCCCATTTTTGGCATTAATTGCTTCACAAAATTCTCAACAACAATCAGAACGTGGTCAAGCAAAACGTCTTGAAATAGCTACATATTTATTTGAAGCATATAGTGCACTATCATGTTGTTTTCATTCGGGTCAATCAATATTAAATAGTTTTCTACCGGGTCTCTATTGTTTACGTGTAGATTTTGCACAATTAAGACCTGATAGTGTTGCTGTATTAGATTCTATTATTAAAGATCTTGAACATAAACTTGAACAATATCGACAAGATAGGTTTGTATTTGGTTTTTTTAATTGAACCAAAAAACAGAATTCAATTATTGATTGTTTTATTTTAGTTCATTATTAATCGGTGGTACGAATCTCACTCAAGAAAATATTCGAGGACGAATGCTCAAAGGTTTAACGAATTTTCGAGATTCAACTGAAAAATTAACTTATAGATTTATGAAAAAAAAATAATCACTATTATTCTGAGCTTTGATGATCAAAATCATAGTTTTTACTTTAAATAATGCTCACATGACATTTTGACTGATCTGCCTAAAATTGAAATATTTTTTTTTGTGTTTCTCTGTATATTTGTATGAATTTATTTTTTTTTTCTCTTTTTGTGTAACACAAAACAAAGCGTACTTCAAAAAGATATTCGAATGTTAATCTTATACATTCTTTATTACTTAATCGAAAAATAAATTTCTTATGACAATAACACTAATACATTCTTTTTTTTTTGTTTGTTTGAAAATAAAATAGAATAGATATTCAAATACGTTTTCATATCAATTCAAAGAACTTTTTTAACAATCAACATATAGGCAAGATGATTCCAAGACAAGGATTTCAGGCCAATGATTCCGGACTTCAAAAACAATCAGATTTCACTGAAAAGATGCGCGGAGAAATTCAGGAATATTTCAATTTGGAATATTGCTTCCATGTTCCATCGATTTCTGGTGTTTTTCTGCTGGAATCAGCTCGTACTTCTTGACCTTGGATTGAACCTGTCGGGTTAATCCCGGGCGTGGGCTTGGAAATTTTGTACCGGACAAGTTCGAGAATTGAGAACAATACCTTTAATGGTCGTTTAAAAATTGCATCGAATGTCATATTATCACAACTCACGTGTTCTATATAGATAAGAGTTGGACACCGATCCAATTCAGTCGGTGACCGAGCGGTTGAAAAAATTTTCTAGACCAGCGCAAAAACCTGTACCGTGAACAGCTTTTTTTGAAGAGTACTTTAACCGATTAACGAGTACCTGATCTTTCTTAACGCATAATATAAACAAGAACGATAGAAAAATAATGTCTGACGGTCGAGACAGCATTCGAATTGGAAACAAAGCTTTCAATCGGCGAAAAACTGGTCCGGTTCGAACTCTGATATAGATTCAACATTCGTTTTTAACAAATGAGTTTCAATATAAACAGCGAAAAGTTATATAATCATTTTTTATGTATAAAGCCCGCAGAAACAAACAATGAAAATCAAAGAAATGTTCATAACTATAAACGATCGAATGTAAACAATATAAAAGAAAATAACATAAAACAAACATTATGTTGAATTCTTTTTTAAATTGTCACTATCTTCATTACTAGCACCATCAATTGTTTTATATAATTCAGCATAATTATTAGATAATAAATTTTTTAAATGTTGTCCATATGTTTGTGGTTTATAGTTTGGTTCTTTATCAGCTGGACACCATCGTGTTCCTAAATCACGAGTATCAATAATGAAATCGAGTTGTGGATCCCAAAAAAACGCAATAGAATAACGATCACGACCCGAACGATTAATAACACGATGAGGAGTTGCACGTAAACAATCATTTGTCCATTTCGAAGCACTATCACCAAGATTAACTAGAAAAGCAGTTTCACCATTTGATGAAATCATATTTGGTGCTGATATCCATTCACCATTTGGTGCTTTTACTTCTAAACCACCGACATCATCTTGAGATAAAATAGTCATAAAATTATAATCACAATGTGGTGCACTACCAAAAACACCTTCTGGTATTGATGATGGTTGTGGTGGATAATGAAGCATACGTAAACCAATTGATGGTCGTTGAAAATGTGATGCAAAACGATCAAAATCAGTTTCACTTGCAGCAAAAAATACTTTAGTTAATTCAAGAGCTAATTTTATTAATTCATAATAATAATCTAATACAGCTTTACGAAAATCTGGCATGCCATGTGGCCATTGATTAGGACCTTGTAAATATCGATTATATAAATCTTCTTCTTTTAAATCGGATGGTCCTTCAAAATGTTCATGATTAATAATAAATGATTCACTTTGATTTGGTGCTTTAACAATTTTTTTTGTATCTTCAACTAATATACCTTTAGATTTTGATTCAGATTTAATTTGATATGATGCTAATGGAAGATATCCTCTATGCCATTGATTTAAACGAATTTTATTTTTTTCTTCTAATGGTAATGCATGAAAACGACGATGTTGAATAAAAACTTTATTGATAATAGATTGTGGTACACGATGATTAATAATATAAGCAAAGCCCATATCTTGAAATGCACAAGTAAATTCTTGTGCAACTTTTGATAAACCTGTAGAAGTTGAATCCCATAATGGACTAAGATCAATTATTGGAATCGTCATCTATCTTAAAAAGAAAATTTTTTATAATAATAGATACTAATGTTATATATGAAAAGAATGCTAAAAATCTTATTTTGACAGAATTTTTAGTTTTTAAAGAAATAAGAAAGGTTTTAATACTTCTTCGAGCAAATGTACAACTTTGATCGATATGAAACAGAAAAAAAAACGTTAATATTTGGAGATAATGAATGTCACGCAATTATCAAAACAAATTTCATATAATCGATTATTTTGATTGAACAAAGTGATATATAAATGATGTTCACTAACGAGGAAACCTCTTAAGGTGTCCCGGTTTGATTTTCATGATTTTTTCTTTGCCTATATATACTACATAATATGCTAACAAAAATCCTACACAAGGATTTCGATTGCTATTGAGATTTAACTAAGCTCTTGAATTTTGATCTGAAACTTTCCAACATATAGAGAACTCAACTAGACTATTTTCCATACAAAATTTCAGAAATTTTGTACAAAGTCTCTTTGAGATATGAAGCTTTCAAAAATGCATGTTGTATACTCTATCCATGGAAAAGAGTCCATATCTGGAAAGTCTCATATTTCCGAGAGATTTTATTCAAAACTTTTGATTTTTTTAAATAGAAACCAGTCTAATTCAGTTTTCTATATGCAGGTCAAAATTCGAAAATATGAGTTTTATGAAAACCCGAAGTCTCTAGAAAAAGACTCGATAGCTTACGAGGGAAGATTCCCAACTAATTCAATTTTGTCTATATGTCGCGGACAGGATGCTAAGAAGGTTTGGCACGATGGTGCTTCTTTCGAAGGTTATGATCATTTTACTGATTTGTTCTACCTAACACAAGGTATGTAGGGGCAAATTGAACAATGAAATTTCAATCTAAAATTTTGCTCATATGTAGCTCTTCTGGTCATTAAAACACTCTAAAAGTTTCAGTGGAAAAAAAAATGTTTTCTTTTGGAGATATTCAGCTTTTAAAAAAGTAAATCTTTATGAGCTGACAAGTTTTTAACCCTTTGAGTACCGGATTATTTTTATATAATAAAATTTTTTATAATTTCAAACTAACGTTTATTTCGCAAAAAATATCACAAAGTACATGAATTAAAATGCTTGTAGAGTGTGATAGTCTTTAAAACAATCCATAAGACACAATCCTACATCATATTCAATGCATTCATACGAAGTATAGCCTTAACCGTGCAAATATCCTAAACGCAAATATTCATGTAATTCATATCATAAAATAATCAAACGATCATGTTTTCTAAAGTTATTCAGACCCTAAACTATCAGGACGCGAATTCTCGTTGCCGGTACTCAAAGGGTTAAGAATCAATATTTCCAGAAGGAAACATTTTTTTCCACTGGAACTTTTAGAGTGTTCTAATGACCACAAGAGCTACATATGAGCAAAGACTTTCAAAGGAAGCACCATCGGCTCAAACTCTCTTAGAATACTATCCCCGAGGTATGGACAAAATTGGATCAGTTGGAAATCTTTCCTCGTTATTCAAATCTGAATAAGAATCCAAATCCTCTTAGAGTTTTTATTAGAACGCTATGCAGTATCTATAAACAAAAAAATCATTGAGATCAGAATGAGATAGCTGAAGAGGTTCCCTCGTTAGTTTTAATCTGCATTATCAATTTGATTTATTTTCATTTTTCATTAATGAAAAATGGCTAATAATAATAAAATATATACTATGTAACAGGATTTGAAGTTTTCACCCCTTGTCGTTTCAAATGCGTTGCCTCTCAGATAGATTTGAAGGTGAACACTTTTTTATCAATTCTTTACAACTTATAAATTTAAACAATTCCATTCCAAATGCAAAATGATCTTGGATTAAAAATTTTAAAAATCAATTTTTTCTCTTTCCTAAATCAAACATCCACTTGCATTACTTTTATCATCAAATGTCTTAAAATATTTTGTGTTACTATTTACATTTTAGTTTCAAACTCAAAAAACAAAAAAAATTTCTTTCGTTTAATTATCTTTTATTAGCATAAACAAAATAACTCAATAGTTTCACTTTTATGTATGTATAAAAATTACCAAGTAATAAATCAGGGAGAATTTCTAATGCTTAACTGGGCCTATATATAAAAAAAAAAACAAAAGAACAAAACACTATGATCAAGAAAAAAAATGACTAGTTACAAAAAAAGAAGAAGTAAACAGGAAAGTATAGAAAAAACGGGAAAATAAAATATACCTTGAAAGTAAATCATGCTAAAGGCACTTGTGTTATCTACAGATAACTTTCATAAAATTCTTTTGCAAGTTTCAATGATATATATATGTATATGTATAAAAGAAAAAAAGTTTAATGGTCATGAAAGTATTGATAAAGGTTAATGAATTATTACAACAATCATCAAAAAGAAATGCTAATATTTTGAGCATTCTCGAAATTTGTTTTTCCTTTTAAACAAACAAAAAAAATTACTAAATAAATAATTGATGTAATCATGAAATCTTGCATATATTAATGTTTACACCAGCATTTATATCAGCAAAATCTGATTTTTGAATATGAACATTAAATAAATAATTAATTATAACTTGAATCATATAACCAGTTGAACCACCAACAAGACTAATTGGAAGATTATAAAAATCTTTATAAGGATCAACAGAATTATTTTGTTGTTGAAATAATTTTACTGCTTCATTTATTAAATAATCAACATCAAGTGGTTGAATAAAACATAATTCTGGATTACGTTGAAGTAAAACATTTATTGCTTCAAACATCTAAATTTTTGAAAAAGAATATACACAAGAAGAAAATTAAAAAAAACTTCATATAATTTATTTTACTTCTACAACAAGACAACGATAAGCTGGATCAAATACTCGACTAAGCATTTCTTCAATTTTTAATGAAAAATTTAATTCATAATCAGTCATATCAGATAATGTTGGTTGCTAGAAGAAAAATAAAAAGAAATATTTATTATTGAATTTTTCTATAAATCTACTTGTGGAAGTAAAATATTGCATAATTTAATTCCTTTTGGTGTTCGTTCAAGTATAGACCAAACATGTTCATAAAAATTCGTTGGTACACGTGATAAAGCACCATCCATTTGTCGTTTTTGAAGTGATGATCTAATTAAAAACAAATATATATATATTTTTTTTTTTTTTTGTATTCGTAAGTTTTACCTTGGTTCTATATCAGCACCTTGTAATGTTGATTGTTGTACATTGGTTGTTAAAACATAATAAAGTAATTGTTTGATATCATTTGGTGATATTGTATTTAATGTCTTTTTTGAAAAAAAAAATTATCATTAATTAAGAAAGTTATTAGCACAATTCTTATTAGATTAAAATATGAAATGCAAAGTAGTTGCTGTTGCTTATCACAACGAGATTATTTTATTCTATCTATTTTAGGGACATATTTCTTCACTATCCGTTTACTTAAAAGAGCGCATCGGGTTGGTCTTGGACCCGGAGATAAAAATTTTGGAACCAATGGGCTTAAGTCGACTGGAAAGTGTGTAAAATACGCTATCTAGGTCAACGATTTTGACACTCGGATCTATGAATTTCCGGCAGGTTCCCGCTGTAAAACCCGAGGAAATTGTAGGAACCTGGTGATCAGATTCAGCGGCCGGATTTTTCTAATTCCGATCATAATCACAGTGAAACATCTTGTAAGTAAGATCTTGGCCAAAATATAAGGTATAGAAATGTGAGTAGACCTTGAAAATTTGGGCACCAGATAAATCTGATTATCTTGAGCCAAGATCTGTATAATAAGATCTTGGGTATAAATTTATCTGATTCGATTATTATCAAAAGAACGTACATTCTGTATCCAAGATCTTAAAATCTTGCGAAAGATCTTGATTTAATAATAGTTTTAAAAATTATTTTGCTACTTCTTGGAATTAGATTGCACCAAATCATTTAAGAAAATACAATCTCCATTGAAAAATGTTCATGAGGTCGACGATTTCGAAAGTTTTTTGAATTGACTATTGATCACTAAATTGACTTCTTGTGTTTGTAGAAGATATCTGACTTCAAATTCAACTTCAGTACCAAATTTTACATCAGATAGGCTATTTCAGAAGTATTTCGAGGCATCCATAAATGAATTTTAGTGATCATTTTGAATCATGGATATTTGAGCCAAGATCTTATAGATCTGCACCTAAGATCTAGTTATAGATCTTATACCTAAATTTTCAAGATCTCTTCACTTTTCTGTACCTTGTATCTTGGTCAAGATCTTATTTACCATATGTTTGACAAGGGATGCTTTGGAACTCCTACCGTTTTCCGGCCGGAGAAGGCTCGTATTTCTTGACCCAGATATTCACCGAATACAGAAAACCCGGAAGAAAAAGTATCTTGTATTTTGTGAGTAAATGTTCAATTCCGATTAGAAAATTTCAGTGAGAGTATCAAAATACAGATCGACCGGTTTTGGTTCTGAAAATTATAGATCCGACAGGCTCTATCCTTCAGAAATCTATAAAGAAATAGTTCATATATAATAACGAGATATTATTGATATGTATATATATATATAAGCAACGTCTGTCACGATCTGTACGAAGAATCTAAATTTTTATCCGTATACTTCAACATTCATCTTATATCGTGATTCACAAAAATAAAAACTACTTACAACAGTCTCGTCAGCATCAGCTCTAAAAAATTCTAATCCAAGTTTCATTGCTTCAAGTACCCATCTATTGAATAAGGAAAAAAAATATTCAAACAAAAAAAGAATTTAATAAAAAATTTTTCATACCCAAGTCGTATTTTAAGAATACCATTAAAAAGTTGCTAGAAGATAAGAAATAATTATAAAAATTTCGTTTAAATAATATTTGAAATTTTCTAACTAACTGGAAATGTATTCATAAATACTGAAATATTAAGAAGTAATTCTTGTAAAAGAACAGCATGAAATATACTATGCCCAAATACTTTGTCACTATATAATATCTTAAAAATTTCATTTGGACGCATCTAATAAAAAAAATAAAGAAAATTTATTTCTATATTAAATTTCAATGTACTGGTTTATCAACAACGGATTCTTCATAACCAAAAATTCCAATAGTTACCTAAGATAAAGAAATTAATTTTATAGAAATTTTAAGTTTATAAAATACTAACTATTTTTCCTCGGACAAGTAAATTAGTAACAGATGGAGCTAAACTATCAACCATTTTATGTAAAAGACTCGATACAAAACGAATAACAGCCCTAAAAATTACAAGAGAAAAAACAAAAAGAAAACTTCATTTCTTTTTCTTAAAAATTAATATTTAAATATTACCAATTTTGACATGTGCTTGCTTCTTTCATTAAAAATTGTAGATGATTTTTCACACGATAATTTTCTCGAATCATCCAATCAAGACCACCACGTCGATATAATTCATATGTAGCTAATGTATGTTTTTTTAAAGATCCGATTGCTACATCTGTATTACAGATAAAATCACGTAAGTCTATTTCATGTTGATCTTTAAATTCCTATAAAATTAAAAATAAAAATCAGTATATATATACACATATATACATACATGATTAATATAATCAATATCATCATTGACAATAACTGTTTTTGTTATATCTGTTAAAGATTTATAATGACCAATCTCATGTACATTTCTATATTCAGTTACAGCAACTGATTTCCAATCAATAGTTGAACATGTTGTATTATTTAAAAAATCAAGATGTTCTATACAAGCACTTGATATAGCTGTCTAAAATAAAAAACAAAGAACAAAGTTTATTTATTTGAATTAATTTCGATTATTTTTAAGTGAAGAATAATACTTGTAAACGTTCAAGTCGTACACATATAGTTGACGAAAGTTTGCCAACACGAATTTGAGTTAATAATTCCAAGAGATCTGATTTTTGTGGTCCTCTTAAAAAAAAAAAGACTAAGTCAAAGAAAATAAAAAATTTCATACCGAAGATGTTGTTCACGTAACATTATTAAATAAATTGGTCGACCTTTAAGACGCCAACATCTCGTAATAAATTCCAAATCACTCTGAATAAATGAAAGATTTTTTTTTAGAATGTACATTTACATATTTGTTTTCTTATTTTCTCAAAATTAATTCAACCGGAAAAAAAAATTCAATATTTTCATTATGAAACTTTTACAATGTATCATTTGATTGGATTTTTCTAATACAAGAACTACAATGTTTTATGAATTGATCATTCTGAATTTTTAATGCCATACAAATAATAGAAAAACAACAGATTTAACATGTTTTCAAAAATTATACAAGATTAAACGAAATGCTATGACATTGCACAATCGATCTGAACTTTCCGGAAGTCTTAAAATAATTACAATAGGACAAAAAATTGATTTTAAGACTTCAAGAAGAGCTCATCGGATCCAAAAATTTTCGGCTCCGGATCTGGATCGAATCCAATGGGTTCTAACTCCAAGGTTTCAGAGACCTGTGTTTTTATCTTTAGCTCTCCAGTTATTTGCTATCAGAATAATCTCTGTACGATGGATATATCAATAAATTTCAAAATTTCATTCTATCAAACAAATATGTAACTCAAAAAGTGCAAAAAAAAGAGTAGTCCTGTCTTCAAGATCTAATATTGTTCTGTATTTATTTTTTGAAAAATATTCTCACTCGAATATTATCTAATAATAAATTCATATCACTTGACATATAAAAGTCTGTTGTTTCAAATGTTAATGGATAACATATGATTGTTTTTGAAGCAATTTGATAGACCTAAAAAAAAAAGCAAAAAATTTTATCAATATATAAAAAAAAAATGAATTCTTACTTTACATGTACCAAGTACACCAATTGGTCGCATAGGACGTCCACTAAAACCAAATTTTTCATTAGCACCTAAGTGTCCATATAACTAAAAATTTAAATTAAATAATATTTAAATTTATATTAAAAAAAAAAAAAGATTAAAATCATACTTTAACTAATTCTGCTGGTGGCCATATTAAAATTGGTTCAATTTGTTTTGGTGTTTGAGTTTGAATACCATATGTTGCTAATACTTGTTGTAAACGAACTGATTCTGATATAGGAACAACATGAATGACAAGATCCGAAAAAGTTATCTAATTAAATAATATTTATTTTATTTTAATAGAATTCAAATGAATAATTATAATTTTACATTTGATAATATTGATCTATTTATTGGTTTATTTTTATCAACTAGTTGATGTGGCATTAATTTATATGCATTTGGTGAATATTGATAACGTGATGCATCCTATTTATAAATTAAATCAGATGTTAGTATAAATTCTATGACTAATCATAGAGAAATAGTTTAATTCTATTTAAATCATTCTTTAACTTAATCCTCAAGAAGATAAATTCATATCGTTTCATATATCAAATACAATCATGGTATATAAAAATATATCTTACTACTCTATTATAGAGATACGCATGGTTGTCTTACTCTGCATCAGAGATGGAACCAATCTGAGTAGGTAGTCAGTCCGGACTGTTTGAAGTCCATACCGACACTGAACTGATGAATTGTCGTATTTCAACTATAGTAGGATTAAAGGAGAATGAGAAAAAAATAAGTTTGTAGGGTACAAGGTGTGGAAAAAGCTTATTTGGGACATTTTTACTCTATTACAATTTACTATTCCTATCAACTAGTAGTTTCACATTTTCTAATTAGTTAATAACAATCCAATAAACTTTAATTTCTGAGTCATCGACCTCCCTACTCCTGGCGATCTCGGAACACGCTTATATGATACGTTCAGAGTGAGGAAGAAGTATAAGAATCCCGTCGTATATATCAATAAGATCGTGTTTTGATAAAATATTCTAAAAGAAATATACTTGTATAGATGAATATCTTGAGTTTCGTTTTGGTCGATCACATGGAGGTAAATAACGTCGAATAGGATCAAGATCACTAACTGTTAAAAGTTTATCAACTAGTCAAAAAATCAAAAAAAAAATTTTTTTATCAAAGAAGAAAATACAAAAATATAATTTTACCAAGTAATTGACATATAATCCAAACAGCTTGACCAAAAAGAAAAAAATTTCCTTGAAGAATTTCTGTACTACAAGCAAATGAAGTTTGTTGAATAGTGCTACGATCACTAGATTCACTTTCTGCACTACTTTGTTGTTTTGCATGATCAATATAATAATAATGAGCCATCATATCACCTTCAGAAGAAAAAAAAATACCAAAATTTAGTTATTTATACAAAATAAAAAGAAAATAATAAGTAGTTTTACAAATAATATTAAACAAACAAGACAATATGAGATATATATATATAAGTGATATAAATATTATAACAGAGAAGAAAGATTATCCGATATTAGTGTCATAGAAATAAGCATATAATATTTAATTGCTACCTTTATCAAGCATAGTAGTATAAGAATAAGAGGTTAATGAATATTTGTTATTCGCTAATGTAATAGAAGAATTTTAATAATAAAAGTAAACAAGGATTATAAAACAATATAATCATACGTGATTTTAATGATTCGCATTCAGCATTAGTTGTAGATGAATTCGTGCGGCAATGTACTATGGGATGCAATATTATTTTTTTTTTTTGTTTTTTTTCACAACATTCTTGAATAAGAATTATAATTATTTATTTTACCTTCAGTTGTACGTCGTAAAAGAGGATTTAATGCATGTAAATATTCATCAACTTGAGTTTGATTATTTTTGAAAATACCTAAAAAGAAATATGATATTCATAATAATAAACTTCATCTGCTTTTTTGTGTTTAATTCACACAGTGGATAATAGGGTGGACATTTGGATGAAAGCAATGGAAGTAACTTATTATACACTTTGATTAGTGATTAGTTTTTTTTTTTTGGTAAGAAAAAATGTTGTTCCAGCTGCTGAATTCATTGGAAAAACATCATTCTTTTACAGTCTGAAACTAAGAGTTCTACTCTATTGATTTATAAGAAAAGTTTTCGTTCTGAAATAATAATTATTCTTTTTACACTAACGAGCGAACTACCCGAATTGATACTTGCTGTCTAAGTTTCATATTCGATTTACAAGGAGGTCTCGATAAAGCTAGAAAAATTCTAAAAAGGTTCATGCTCATAGATTTTTGGAGCCGGGTCGTTATGACGGAGTGACTCCGCTGTTCAGAACGTATCCAATAAGTACTGTGTTCAAACCGCACTGCCGCCAACCATGGCATGACCTTGGATAAGTCATTGATGGCTGTTTGTCTACGATCAGCCATCCCATAGCATGTTGACTAAGTTGTAACATACATCTACCCTTGTCGCTAGCATGTTATTAGTCAATGTGTACGAAAAGCTTAAGCAATTGAGCGCAAGAACTTTGTATCAGGCCGACCTTCTGTCTGGAGCTACAGCTAGTCATAGTTGTAGGGAAGATATTGGACTAATGTATCTGCCACTAAGCAGTACTCCATACCGCAAGGTAGACGAAAAGCAGAAGTATTGTTTCTTCTTCTTCTTCTGGAGTGACTAGTAGAATATCCTGAAAGTTTCAGCAGAAACGAATCTTCCTTCGTCGAGATATTGAATTTTTAAGTAAACTCGACTTTTATGGCAAATGCTAATTTTTTTTTCAAAATTCAATATGTCGACAAAAAAACATTGTTATCCGCTGAAACTTTTAAAATATTCCTAGAGTCATAACGCATATCTATGAGCAAAATTTCAGGTTGAAATATCAAAAGCTGGATCGCAAATCAGTAAAATGGTCACAATTCAATTGCAAAGGTCCATGGATACGAATCCTTTTAGAATTTCTTTAGTCTTATCGAGATCTCATAATGAATCCATTATGAGCTCAAAAAGCAGGTATCAATTTGGGTAGTGTCTTCCTAAGCGTTTTCTGAAAAAGCGTCTTCAGTAAAGTTGATACCACTTTTTTTTCCATTAATCTAGTATCGACGAAACTTTCAGAGAATGTTCTTCTATATCTGGAACATAAACTAAGTTAACTCAAACGCTTCTGGACTGAGATATATGTTCACAGAAGTACTTTGAAAGAAGAATAAAGACATATTTCGAATCAACGTGAAAAGCTGCATCGAATGATGTATCACTTATTAACTTTTAAAATAAAAATTCTTTTTTCTTAGAGTTTAAGATAAGGATTCCTTTCATGGATTTTCCATCTCAAATGGTCTTTTTTTCATCAGTCTTGTTTTTTGAATGCAAGAAGCTGATATTTCTATTTCAAAAAAATTCGTTTTCGACAGAAATATCAATCTGAAAAAAGAATTGTTTATCTTTTTACTAATGATCGTCTTCATTCGAATTGCACACAATGAAAAATATAAACCATGAAAATTAATGTTTATAAAAATATTCATCAATATTTAGATACATGAGAAAAATTTCGATGAACACATTATGAATAAATGATGATCATCAAAAATTTTTTGTTTTTTAGTATTCAAGTGCTTTTATGTTAAGAATAGCAAGTAATATCAACACAATTAGTCATATCCATAAATATACTTTTAGTTGATTTCTCGGGAAAGATAAACTAAATATCGTCAGAATATTATAATTATTTAAAAAAGATAGTGTTTTGTTTTTTGGTCTTTACCATCGATTACCATTACTGCAAAAAACATAGGCCATTCACATTCATTTTTATCAAATTTCTAAAATAAAAAATATATTTATGTAATTTAATTAATTTATTTTTCAATTCTTACTTTAATTTCAGGTTCTTTATAAAATCTTTCATCTCTCGATTCTAAATCTGTATATTGACCATCACGTAAAAATCGTTTAAAACCATGTGTACCACGTAATTTTCTTATACATTTTCTTACTGTACTACCTACAAGTGTTTCATTATGTATAGCAAATGTTGGCCAACCAACTGTTAATAATAAAGCAGCATCAGTATTCTATATAAACATGAATATATATATATATATGTGTGTTTATTTTTGATTTCTAGAAAATTTCACTTTTGATGCTGATTCACGTGGTAAAAGTGTATCAAATGTTGTTCGATTTCGATTATGAGCATCCTAAAATGGCATATAAATATTGATATAAAAAGTTTTCTATGAAGTTCTTGGTTCATACCGCATCAACATAAACTACAGACCAATTAGCTCCTTGATCACCATATAAATTAAAACCATTCATCGCTTCAAGTGCTGCTTTTGCCATACCAATTGAACTATAATCCAAAATAAAAGAATGACTGTATTTTTGATCATCACCAAATTAGTGATATTCAGCGTTGGTGTCAATGCTGACAGTGAGTCACCGACATAAGGTCCGCTGCAACATTCAAACATCAATTCTATCAAAATATGTCATTTTTTGAAGTGATGTGTTTCAGCGAACACTGGTGTCTGTGCAGTTAGTGTGCACTAACAATGAGTCAGTGACGCTAGTAAACAGTAAAATAAAATTGCACATCCATACACCAAATGATTTTATAAAGTATTCTTTCAGTATTTATTTCTCAATAAAGTGTAGGTGCTGGTTCACACCATCGCTTTGTGGTGTTCTGTATTTTCAATCAGAGCAATTAGTTTTAAGGATGCTGTTGATCTGGATGAGAACCAAAATATAATGTACAAAGCAAACAATGTATGGACCAATTCAGACGACACGGAAGATACCTTACATTTGACTGTGATTCTTTACAAGGATTATTTTTCTGAATAAATTCTTTTAACATACACATATGTAAATATGTTGGCTAATTAAATAGTAATTAGTGAATATCTCTCTGATCCCACGAGAAACCAATCCGAAAACTTCAGGATAGACTTTATGACACACACCACATCTATGGTGAAGTCTTCAAAAAACTTCCTCCTTAAAGCTGGTTTTCTAAAGAAAGATTTGTACCTTTTAGAATTCGTTTTGAACTTTTCATTCGGTTATTAGAGCATTTTCTCATACTCCGTCATGTCGCTAACACTAGGCTTTTACTGGTAATTCTTCTGAACAAAGATTTCTAGCAGTGATTTTTTTCAGGATATGTACTTAGGGTTATCCAAAAGTAGTGAGCCAGGTTCTTTTTTTTCTTATAAATAGCTAAAAAGAAATTTCTTTTTTTACCAATAGATAGAGCGTCTTTCGCTCTATTTTTCTATGCTATTTGAGCACTATTCAACTGGTATCATAATAGTAAAATTTCGATAAGAACTCTTTTTGTGTGACTCCAGCTGGTAGCAATAGTGCATATTATCATTCATGCGTGTTTTCTTTATTTTTTCCTCATCATCTAATAGATTTTATTAAAAAACAAAATACACCACAGGATGCAGCGTAAAAAGCTCTACAATTTACATACGACCACTTTTTTATAGTTGCACTTTTTGTTTTCACAATGGACAAAACTTTGAGCGACCAAATTTTGACCGTGCGAAAATTGGTAGCACAGAATTTTGCTTTTTTTGAAAACAATTACAATAAGCTTTAGTGTGTAAATTGTAGAGCTTTTCACGCTGCATCTTGTGGTATATCTCGTTTTTAATAAAAATGTATTAGATGATAAAAAGATGAAATAAGAAAAAAGAAATTTCTCTTTTGTGTAGAAAAAAATGATTTTTTCGCAACGGCGACAACTAGTCGAACAGAATTTTGCTTTTTTTGAAAACAAAAAGTACACAATTAAAATAAACTGTTTTTTGTAAATTGTAGAGCTTTTCACGCTGCATCTTGTGGTCCTTTTTGTTTTTTGATAAAACCTATTAGATGATGAAAACACGCATAGATGATAATATGCACTCTTGCTACCAGCTGGAGTTACATAAAAAAAGTTCTTATCGAAATTTTACTATTATGATACCAGTTGAATAGTGCTCAAATAGCATAGAAAAATAGAGCGAAAGATGCTCTATCTATTGGTAAAAGAAGAAATTTCTTTTTAGCTATTTATAAGAAAAAAAAGAACCTGGCTCACTACTTTTGGATAACCCTAAGTAGATTAACTTAACATATAAAAAGTAGCTCCAGGAAAGTTCATTATCCTGAGATATACATGTAGTAAAAATATCTTTTTTTCTCAAAATGAAAAATAAGCGGACGAGAATTTGTTCAATAAATTCTGTTTTTTACCTAGCATGAAGTTCACATGTATTTGTATTATATTTACTTCCTCGTTCCCATATACCATAATCAGGTGTACGATAAGCACGTTCAATTGAAAAAACAAGTTGTTGAACAAAATCAACTTCATCCATAGAAAAAATAATCTTACAAAAACAAACAAAAAAGACAATTTATCAATTTATAAATATTTCTGTTTTTCTTTTTTTCGTATACTAAAAGATTTGATGTAATCATTTGTACAAGTGTAAGTAAATAAATTGAAATAGCACATATTTGTAATTGACCAACTTCATCAGCATCTTCAACTTCACTACCATCAAATACATTAAATTTTGAATGTAAAGCATCATATGTTGATTGTTCACTTTTAAATATTTCAACCTAAATAAAAAATATTAATTGATTTGTTGAAATAATAAAATCATCTTCTTTATTTTCTTTTTTACTGACTTTTTTTGCTTGTTTCATCCAACAATTAAGAATTCCACGCATACATTTAACAGCTGCTTGTCCTAATTCATGTGATCGTCCTTGATCATTATCGATTTTACAATAACATTGTCGTAATGCCCATACTGCAATGGAACAAAAAACATTTTCAACAACATGTGCAATATTTTTATTTGATTCAAGATGATTTGGAAAAAGACCAGTTGTTAAACTTTGAAAAGCAAGAATTTGACGTTTTACTTTACGATAATAACCATCTAATTTTTTTAATATTAATGTACGTGAATCAGAATAATTTTCTGTTTCATCAGAAGCATTCCAAACTTTCTATTGAAAATAAAAAAACGAAAAGACGATATACTAATAATTAATAAAACATTTTTTATTCATATTTTTTTTTTTTGTTTACTTTTGAATCAGACCATGATGAACGACGACTACGATTAAAACTAGTATGATTACTTGTTGGTATAGAAAAACCACTAATATTTGAAGAAGTCACTGATGGACGTTGTCGTCGTCTAATAGAAATACTGTCACTCATTAGACGTATCTGTTAGTTCATATCTATAATTTATAATAAAACAATATAACAAATATATTTTTTTTTCTTTTTATCAATTCATCATTAGCCTAGTAGAATATAATCTTATGCTGATTGCTGAGTTAGTCCTGCAGACGGAACAATATGCATACAATTCAATTTCTTATCCATTCCATCGATAATTAAATTTTAAAAGAACATATACAATAACTATTTTTAATCCTGTTGTCACATTATTAAATCGTGAGTATATTCAAGTTGCTCTTCAATGTTAATGTGTTTTGCGTAAACAGTTCATGTTTATCGGCAATGTATGAATTATTGAATAGTCAATATAACTAATTTTTATTCATTCGTACTAAATATTTCATTTAATGCTGGTAGAATGTCCGCAATTAACTAACAGAGGAAGTTCCTCAAATAAGAAATTGCTTTTCAGTCAAGACTACGTGTATTGTGTAAACTAAAATGAGCTACGGTAGTAGGCAAAAGTTCTCCCCCTCCTCTACTAGTTCTTAGCTACTATAGGTATTTCAGGTCTGAAAATTTGTGTGCACATAATCCATCAAGAATATAGATCAGACTCGTCAGCTTGCTCTGATTGCTTAAACACAACGGAAATTATGATGCATAATAATGACACGGCTGTATTTCAGCTATTAACTTAATCGAGCCCATAAACTCTTATTAGAATGTTGCCCATTTTATTGTGACTATTCGAAACTTTCTTCTAAAGGGAAACGGTATGCCAATAATCATCGTGTTTGTGCCGACGCATCAAAGACATTCAGAGACAACAATCTTGCAGTAAATTACATGATACTTTGAGCCACAAAAATCATATACTGGGCTTCAGTTGTAAATAAAAATCTCAAGAATTAGTCGTGTATTATTTTTTCTATATGAATGATGTGGTCTTCTTCAGGAACACCCGGAAAACTGAATTTCGACTTGAGACTTTGTACAACGACTTTTTGAAGTGTCAAATCTTTTGATTTACTTCTATCCTGAAATAAGAACATCGAATCTGCTAGTATATATGAACGATGTAACGACACACTTTTACCATAATTGTATCTTAGGATAGGAAAACTTCCACAATAAACTATTTTCGTTAAAGTCTGTCTCTACTCAACGTTTCAATTAAAAATTCAATAATCAGTTTTTCTGACTGAAACCACGGCATTCATTTAAAAAATGCAAGATATCCATAGCGCATTTGGGTTCACATAATGGACATAGTCTCGGCTCAAAAGTGATTTAACATTTGGAAAACTTTCCTTATAAGAAATAACGATACGAATATATCGTCTCTTATAGTAGAGATAGGGTCGGTTTCAAAAACAGGAGCAGCGAATCGATCACATATGGATTTTAATGGTTTTTTTTAATGTTACTAAGACTACTGTTACTCAATCATATCTATACTCACAATGATGATAGACCGACAAGTGATAAAATTCATTTAAAGATATGTTTTTTTTTTTCTGTAAAGTGAAAAAGAAAAAGTTATCTAGAAAAAAAACTGGTTTATTTATACAGTAAATTTAAAAGGTTGAGCATGTTTTGTTAACAAAACTAGTGAGTACAATACAGTTCATTCAAAACAAAAAATGAGTAAAAAAGATCAATGTAAATTGTTAATTGTCGAAGATGATATTAATCTGAATCAGAATCAAGTGCAGCACGTCGTCGATCAAACTAAATTTATAAAAATATGTTTATCAAAAAAAAAAAATTTATTCATTACATATATTTATGTAAACTTTGCAATCAAAATCAAAGAATTAATTGTCAAATATTAATTTTCTCAGAGAATTATTAACAATTCTACTGAAAATTTTTTGATATTTTCAAAAATTCTATTTCTCAAATTTTTGAAAATAGATATTGATTTATCCCATAGGTATGAACAAAACAAATATATAATCTTACATTAACTTTAGTTGTTTTTTCTGTTGCTTTGCTCACTTGTTCTAAAAGTCCAATTAATTGTTCTTCATTAACCTAAAAGATTTTTTTCTTTTGTAATCAATGATTTTATTTATTTATTCATTTTTTCTTACTTTTTTACCACCAAAAGCACCACGTCGAGCATTTTGTATAAGAATATCTTCAACCATTCGTCCTTTTTCTGGTTTAGTTAATGCAATTGTATTTAAACGTGCACGTGCTTCTTGTGTTAATAATGAACTTAACATTGTATTACGCATATCTTCTTGTTGTTGTCGTTGTTCTTCAGCTGTATTTTGATCATTTTTATTACCTCCAACATGTTGTTGTTGTTGTAATTCAGCTAAACGTTTAGCACGAAGAGCATCAAGTTCTGAATCTGTCATGGTCTAAAAATAAAAATTTAATACAAACAAAAAAAGAAAGTCAATAAAACCAGAATAATATTTATTAGAAAAACAAAACATCAAAACAAGAAACATAGTTTATTATTCTCGCTTTAATAGATTGTTTCATTTTTCATATAACTTTTGATTATGATTGTTCTTGTTATGACTAAGAAAATAGAGAAGTACTTTTTTTTTATATAAATCTTATGTCCATACATTTGCGAATAGATAATATTTTATTCTAATGATATAATTCGAATATTATCACTTCAACTTGAATTCGATCTATTTAATCATAAATATCATTTAATGCTTCACTGTAAAACTAAAAAGGAAAATGGATATACGAATGAATTTCATTATTTTACATGAAATAGAAATATTGTGTTTCGAATCAATTGATATTAAGTAAAAGGATTTAGATGAGGATTTCAATAAGAATTCTTATAAGCAGATTCAACATAAGTGTATAGATGAACTTTCTAAAAGGAGGCCAGCAGAAAATGATGAAATCGAAAAAACATCTCGAATTTATCGGAGGTAGTAGAAAATCATTTTAACTTTTCTTTGTTAAAAACGATCCGAGAAGAGAACTAGGACATTGTGTTGAGAATAAAATCACTAAATTGTTCATAACTCAAGAAGAGAAAGACTCATAAACACAAATCCTTGGAAGTTTTCTCTAGTCTCAATAGAATCTAACTAATGATATATTAAAAACGATTTATCACTTAATAAGATTCTCTCATTAGTTTGAAATCAGGATAAATAATTATCTGTAGTCCTATTGTCATTTTTACAGAAACAATCGAATGCAATAGAAATTTATCAGTCTCTTACTCAAAGTTGAAAGCTTTAATGGTTTTACATGCTGTGAAACACAATTATCACATAACCACTGAGTTCTATTCTGAGTTGTTTTTTTCTTCAAGTACACTAATAGATAAAAGTCCCCCCTGGCAGATCTCAACTTCCATATATGCAGAAAGTCTGGAAATTTGTGTGCACCTACTCTACTAAGAATGCAGATCAAAAGCATGAAATCGCTTTGATAAATTAAATGCAGCGAGAATTATGATAGACGGCACCTATTTTTGCTTCAATTTGTTTAACGTGAAAAAACTGTCTATTCAATTTTACGTTATATTTTATCAAATACATGACCCACACTCACACCCTTCCTACTGTTAACGTCTGTTGATGACGCAAAACGTTAGTCACAATATATTTCGATCAATATGAAAGAAAGGCAAAAGAACAGATAACTTAAATAATCATAAACATGATTTAAGATTGTGAACATTGAATAAATAATCTTAGATATTTCATACAAAAGAGAAATTTAGACTCGTATTCTAGACAAAACCATGCAAATTATTTTGTTTTTTCAATACTTGTCACTAATTATGAATTATGTTCAAATGTTTCAGTCATACGAACAATCAATTAAATTCTATGGTTGAAAAGAAAAATAATTTCGATGAAGCATGAGATTAATTTTACTACTGTAACGGAAGGAAATTACGGCGATTCAAAAGACGAAAGAAGCAAACCTGCTTTAAAACAGTTAACATTGAAAGAAGCTAAATACTTAACGGTGTCGAAGTAAAATACAAATTTTCCATGATTATGAGCGTATCAAATCGCATCGACAGTCTAATCACCTTTTTTTCTTGTTCCGATGTCGACGGAACTCATTATTCAGTTTGTTAATAATAGAATTCATCGAAATTTATGTTACCCGTACTCATAATATCATCTCTGATGGATGAATTCATTCTACGGTAACAATGATTGAAGAATATTTAAGATTTAAATTTACTAACCTGTTTTAGTTAAATACCGAATAGCATATTTGTAGCATTAGTCTTCAACCGATCACGTACAGATGTAATATCTTAATTAAAATCTGTTGATTGTCTATGTATTCCAGATATTGTTTCATCTGTTGTTGCACTTACCGATATTGAGTAAGGTATCTACTAATAGTATATTTGGTCCATCTTGTAATAGTGTTTGTACTGTTGATCATATATTAAGATTATGTGCTTAATTAAGCACATTTATATTTTTCTTTTATGTTCTTCTTTAGTTTCTAAATCTATATTTGAAATTAATCTTTTTCAAGATCGACCTAGTTCATTTAATATAGCATCAAAAATCAATAGCTGGTTGTTTTTGTAAATAGAATTTCAATATCATAATTTACACAAGATAGTTTATTAGTATAACGACGTACTTCTTCAACTTGTTTGTTACGTGTTGTATGCTCTACTTTTTTTAATTTGCCTATTTGTTAGACGTGCACGAACTAAATATTGACATAAAATTTGATTTCACCATTCGAAAACATATCTAATTCCTCTTGATTAATGTCACTTGTATTTAATATACGTGAATCATTGGATATTTCTCCAAGACACTCATATCGATGTTGAACTTAATCACTATAAGAAAAACAATTGAATGATAACCAAAAAGACTTCTATTCGAAAGCTTACAGTAAAAGTTAATAACAGTTGTACATGGAATAATTAATATTATTTATGTTGGCATTATCTTAATCATATGTAATAATTTTTTATCTTCGTCACATGGTTAATCGGTTTCTTTTTTTACCGAAAAATCTAATCATTTAAATCTTAATATTAAAAATTATTAATAAATTAATTGATATGACCAATAATTTTCATTTATGATACATATGAGATATAAAAAGAATAAGCAGACAATCTATAGAGGAGAAAAAGAAAACAAGAAAAGCTTTATGTACCGAAAATATCACCAATATAATACAGAAAATACTAAATATTGCAGATATATTCTTAAAAGCATATTAGTGGTAATTGGCAATAGCCTTGCGACAAAATGTTCGAAAGAGGACGCTAGATATCAATCTATGTTTAAAATAATCTAAGCTTTGCTGTTATCTCTCGATTCAAGGTTTATTTTTTTTTTCGAAAGAGACTTTCAACTTCCTATTTTATATATATTTATTTATTCAAATACAACACAAGCAAATAGAATCGTTTTATGTTAATTTCAAAAAACAAAAATAGACCGGAAAATATCATAGAATGTATGCACAACGTCAAGATGATTAAGAAGAAAACGCGGAATGAAGAATATCATTAAGTCATTTTACCGGAGAAAAATTTGAATATCTCTATTACGGTTCAAGCAAACGAGCTGATTTGTTTAAAAAATTTGACTTTTTCACAAACAGGAAAAAAACAATACACTATAACGAATGGACAGTTTATCACGACAACATGTAATCAATCAAAGGAGCTTGTGAATAACAGACGTTGTATATTCATAGGTATTTTTCTCCTTCTGCTCTACTATAACAATGATCTGGCAGCAAAACGACGCACTACCTCACTGTAGTCAAATTGTGCGAGAGATTGTTTAGATAATACATTCTTATATTGGATTGATTGTCAAGGGATTGTTGAATTGTCACCATGATCTCTAGATTTCACTCCATGTGATTTCTTCCTAAGAGGGGGATTATAAAAGATCGTGTCTATGCTCAAAATCCTCGCGATATATAAATCATCTTATGTTATTAATCGAACAAGACAAAGCTCAAGTCGTAATGAAGATATTCAAATTTTATTCAGTAATGTGACTTTTGCGCCCTCGTGTATTTATATCTCTAGAAATAAAATACTAGAAAAACGAATACTTGCATAGTCAACTAATCTCATTGAGAAATCTGTTCATGTAAAGTTTGAAGTTTAAAGGGATCGTAGCTTTTTATTGAAAAGTCCAGTAAAATTTCGATATCTCAAGCATGAAGGATGAGAAAATCAAACCATTATTTCTCATCAAATGAACATCGTCTCGAACGGAAAGCGATTTGACACCTCGAGAGGTTCCCTTGTACGAAAGAAACCAAATGCCTATTTATTTATTCAAGGAAAATTGATACGTAAGCTGAAGGATGATTTAATGAATATCAGACAACAAATTCATCTCGTAGTAACATAATTAATGTACAAGAAATATTCTTCCTAACTCTTTAATTAAAGTCGAATTGTTAATCTGCTGATCTAAAGTACAAACTGGTTTTTTTTTGTCGATACAATAGATTGAAATTATATTATCAAAATGTAAAGAATTATGACAATACAAATCTATGCGAAAGTCTTTTACTTTTTCAGTTTAAGTTTGTTTTTTCAGATAATATAATAACATTCTTCTAGTTGTTGACATTTTCTATCTCTATTAAGTAAATTTTGTTTTTTTTCTATGAACAGGAAATAAGAGAAAAATTGCATTAATACTTAGTGTAGATTATTCAGAACGAACAATCAATCTTTATATTTTATTGTCTTTGGTTTATTTTGAAAAATCTTTCATACTGAATTTTTTTTCCAACTATTTATATATATATATTCTTCTTTAGTCTTTTATACTTTATTGTAATTATTATGTTCAATAGAAGCAATATTTATCATAATATTAAAAAGAATTTTTTTTTTTTTTCTTCATTATATCTCAAGGGATTTTCACCGACATTTAACGATTAATTGTTCGAATTCTACTTATTTATCTATCGAATAGAATCATATTAGTCAAAGTAATAATTGTAACAATATTCTTCTTAGACAAGTGTTTATCAAAAAAAGAAAAAAAAACAAGATTTGCAAATGGCAAATATTTTTGCTTTAAGCATACAAGTGTTGTCACACCCGAGAAATAACTATTTCTTCTTTTCTTTATTTATTTAAGAACACTATGTTGTCTATGGACTGATGCTCGTTTGTTGCAATTGACAACGACAGTGTTCGTACGAACATGAGATTCCCATGAGATATGCGAAACAAAAGGCGTTGAGCTCTTTGCTTTTTTCTATATATATATATATTTTTGTCCGTGAATACTATATGCATACTATCGCGTCACATCAATAGTAGAGAATAGTAACTATAGTTAACATTGAAATGCATCGAGAACTATTGAATGACATTAGCTAGTTCTTGTTCAACGGCATACACATACAGACAAAAGATCGACGGAAAAGCAGAAAAAAAGGCGAAATTAGTTGAGAAATCGAGAAAAGCAAAAAAAAAAAAAGAAAGCAAGAAAAAGAAAAAAAACGTCGACACAAATCATTATAGACGATATCAAGTGTATAGATGGAAAAACTAGAAATAGCATGATCAGATATCATGCCAATCGTAATGGTGAGTATTGTCATATAAATGTATTTATTATAAATTAGTATTTAATCATTCAATTAAATCTTCAATCATGCTATTAATTCCTTTAATTATTATATTTATATATTTTTCAAATAATGTTTATTGTTTATCATGTTTTAAATGTATGACAACAAATTTTGAAAATGATACATGTTCAGATCCATTTCATCCAATGAATAATCGTCTTGAAAATGAATGTTTTGCAACATCAAATGGTAGAAATGGTTTATTTCCTGCAAGATTTTGTGTTAAAATATCTGGTATTATTGTTGATGTTGATCGAAATGTTAATCGTTCATTATTACGTAAAAGACTTTATTTACGAACATGTATTACAGATAATATTATGGATTCAACACGATCATCAGATTCAACAGGAAATTTTCGTTTAAAAAATTTTAATCAAATCAAAGGTGTAAGAATGCAAGGTACAATAACATTATGTTCACATGATGGTTGTAATCAAGCAATTTTATTAACAGTAAATTCAATGACTATTTTATTTTTTCTGTTCATTTTGCTAATTTATCAATTAAAATAAATCATTTGGTCAGATAGAAGACTAAAGGAAATATTGATTTGTTTTTTTTTTTTTAATAACCGAATAAAAACAGGTGAAATAACGAATCCCATGGTAACGAGAAAGAAAAAGAACATCTAAAGGTAGGCATATAAAAAAAAAAACTCATACTATATGTGCCAATGAAGGCCGATTATTATGTAAATTTCTGTGTATACTTAGATTCTTTTGTTTTTATTATTATTATTTTAATGAAAAGCTTAGAGTAGTTGTTATTACGATTCTTATTTGAATAGACGACCTTTTTTGTCATCTTAATCTATATTATCAAAACAAAATATGGATTCGATTTATTCATCTACATCATATTCTAGTGAAAATAGTAATTATTCTAATGCATCAAATTCAACATATATTCTCATCAATTAATAACAACTGATATGGAAACATCAATATCAGACGTCGACAAAGAGAAGAACAAGATAATAATGATGTTCGTGCAAATAAAAAAGGAAAATACATCGAAAGATTGAAAAATAATGACATCAAATCGGAAGTAAAGATTTTCGTCAATTACACATTTGTCTAATTCAAAATCATTCAATTAGTTTTATTACAAATAGCTATAGATTTATTAATTTACAAGACTTTTACGTTCTTCATATTTAACAGAAAATGAAGTTAATTTTGTTTTTCTTTATTTATACATTCAGATGATTTATTTCATATTCAAAAATCAATTAATACTATAAATTATACAAATTCTATTCAATATCGATTAATACAAAATAATAATTCATATATATCAGTTAGTATTGATGATATAATAAAAAAGATTAATCAATTATTAAAACCTATATCAATAGATGAATGTATGAGTTTTCTTTTTGCTTTTATTGGTACTATTAACAAAATGAATATAATAAGAAAAATATGTGTTATTATAAAAATTCTCAATTATTAATATTTTCTCATTGATGTATTGAAAAATTTTTCTCCTTGATTGTTCAATATCATTTGAGAGTGTGGGTATGGGTGTTTAAAATTTCAAATGAAATTGAAAGTTAACAAAAGTGAATTTAATTATAAATATTACAATGTCTTTATTAATTATGTATTGAATTAATCTCTTGTTACAAGACTTTGTTTAAAACATGTAAACCTATTCTTATTATTGTAATATTATGTAGTCTTTTTTTCATATTAATATCATTAGTTTATTATTTTTTCTTTCTACAAATTCTATTTTTATTCATTTATGCGTGTTTATCATTTCCAAACTCTTGTTTCATCTATTAATCCTATGAATAAAGAAATAAATAAGATAAACCTATTATGAAGAAATACATGTGTTATATATAGATATGAAGAAAATTAATTAAATCTATTTATTTTCGATGTATTCTCTACCTACGGAAATTGACATATCATGACTTCCTATTTATTTAGCCGGAAATTTAATGCATTTCTAATGATTTACAAGTTAATTCAGCATATATGTATATATGAATATTTCTATTACAAAGGTTTATGATTGGTTTTTTATCAAACAAGTTTTAAATAAAACTTCTACTTGTATTGTCATGATTGTACTTGGATTTAATCTTTTGACGTAATATCTTTTCTATGATATATTTTTTTTGTCAAAGAAATTATTCATCATTTAACAATTCATGTGCAATATTTCTTATTAACGAATAATACATGTAATTTACTACATAAGCTAATTTTGTGTTTTCCATACTGATTAATTAATTTATATTTTAATCTACATTATAATTTATTTGATTAAAAAGTTCGTTGAAATCATAAGAAAGAAAGCATCACAATATGAATTTTTTTCTTGAACAAAAAAAACAAAATCCAAAGTTTTCGCCTATAGATGGAGCACATATTACACTATATTTCATTCATTGGATTGATTCATTCATTCATTCAAGGTTAGTTTTTTTTTTCTGTGAATGACTCACAATTGGAAATGACTAGGTCATTCATTCATTCATTCACTTTTTTTTGTCTTTAGTCTTTCATTCAGTCTCCGATCGATCAATATGTCGTCTAATATACCGTCTGTTGCCGTCAATGGTGTTAACAATGATGATCGATTTGTCCTTGAAATAGATATTGAAAATAGATGTTATAATGTATTTGATCTTAATATAAAATGTTCTACAGATGCATTAAAAACATTTCATCGTTGTTCAGATTCTATACTTGAACGTGATCCTGAATTATATAATATATGGATTGATGATCATCGATTTTATTCACATGCTATTGTTGAAGTTATTGAAAATGAATTAAATTCTTTACATTATAAATGTTTATTTAGTAATCTTAAACCATTACAAGGTTTTCGTTGGCTTGAAGGTTTATTACTTGTTATTGGAAGTTATTCTAAATATTTAGATGAATTAAATGATAATGATCGTCTTGATGCATTATTAAATTTATTTTATTCTGCATGGATTACATTTTTTATTCATAATCGTTATGCAATATTAACTCTTAGTTGTCCAACACCATTACCTGATGCTAATAATAATAATAATGAATGTATAATTGTTGATAATCATGATAAAAAAGTAATTATATATATATATATAGAATCTCATGTATTTTCGATATTCTAACATTTCAAAAATAAAATGAAACTCGAAAAAAAAGTTTTTATTTTTTTGTTTAGGTAACAAATGTCAGTGTGCATAAAACAGAAGAACAAATAGCACGTCATCTTGACAAACATCTACCAAATTTTGATCGAATACTTAGTGAAGCAATTGAAATTGGTCATCAATTATCATCAAAACGTTTACCAAATCTTGAAAAATTTGAAGAATTTTATCAATTATGGAAAAATCCTTTGGCAAATAAACGTAAATCATTATCAACAGATTTTAGTTTAATATTAGAACGTATAACAAATGATATAGATTTAACATCAAGTTCAGATGAAACAAATTTTTCACCAAAAAAATCTATTAATTGGAAAATGGTTTTTTATGATGAATTTACTCGTTATGCTGATCGATTTTATTTAACAAAAAAAACATCTCTAAGTAAACGACGTACAATAGGTGGTGAACGATTTTCTATAAATAAATGGTCATCAAATAAAATAAATTATTTTCTAACTAAAAATATACTTAAAAGAAATTCGAACCATGAATATGAAAAACAAATCGAACAATTATATCAATAAGTGACTGCAATTTTTCTTTTTTTTTTTGTTTCTCAGATATTTCTTTGTATATTTAGTTCTTTTTTTTTTTTTGTTGTCTTTTGTCAGATAATTGTTGTCATTGTTGATTTTTGTTGTTTTTTTTTTTGAAATAGTATTATCTTATATACAAATAAACAAGATGGATTAGTGTATTTTTGTTTTATTTATATTTTGAAAAAATTACGATTTAATTTTAGTATATGAAAGTTAAATTCTATGATGAAATACTTAAATTCGCTATTTCTCTCGAAAGATAGAATCAATCTACCATTTTAACCCGTTAGAGCTTGCTGTGGGAGTATACAGTAGAGTCTGTCGGATCCAGGCTCAGTTAACAGAAAAATTTTAGATCCGGATCAATCCAACGGGTTGGTATTTATTCCTATTATAGCACAGTAATAGAATTTAATCTACTATAATGCTATATCTACCGAATACCAATTTTATCTTTACTTTTTGTTTGTGAGAGTCATGGCAGACACTCTTACCAACCACGGTATATATACATATAAAGTTGAAACGAGAAAAACGCTGTTTTCTTCATTATGAACTCTATCAGTCCATCAAACGAAAAACACTCTTTTCAATTTATTGATATTTTATTTTGTTGAAACGTTTTTTTTTTAGATGAATTTTGTATGCGAATTACGTTTTCCATTGGCAACAACACGTCATGCTCAAATCGTCTATAATACAGTACGCATTGATAAAGAACCAAAGAAAACAGTTCAACGTATTGAATCATTAGATAATAATATTCTCAATGTTCGATTTGAAGCTGAAGAAGCAAAATTTATGCGTGTAGCTGTTGAAAGTTATATTGAAAAAATTAATTTAATACTTCGTACAATTCAACGTTTTGATCCACAACTTTAACATTGAACTTTCTTTTCTTTGTTTTTGGCTGTTGATTTATTTGTATTCTAGATGCAAATATTAATATTATTCATTCTTTTTTCTTTATCATATTGTTATAATTATGAAGATTTTAAACGAATTAATAATGAAGAACAATTAAATGATTTTATTCAATCATCTTCATTTAATGTTCTTGTTTTTGGTAAATAAAAAAAAAAAACTTATTTTCTAAAACAAAAAAGAATTCAATGTAGTTTTTCTCTAGTCGATAAACAACAGTGCAATAATGAAAATGATGATAAATGTCATCAACAACGTAATCAATTAGAACAAATTCGTGATTTATGTACCAGTGGAAATATTCAATTTGCTCTTTCAACTAATACAACAATTGCTGAAAAACATTTTAATATTTACGGATCATTTCCTCAAATTTGTTTTTTTCGAAATGGTTTTCCAATTATTTATTCAGGTAGTTAAACAAAAACAAAAAAATCCCAACTAATATTAATGTGAAACTCTGCATTAATTGTACGATTCTAGTTTCAAAGATATCTCCTCTTTTTGGACTAAAAACTCGATTTTGAGCTAGTTATCATCATTTGACTCTAAACAGCTTACTGTTACAGAGTTACTGAATTTAAGAAAGTTTTTCTCATAGTAATCGTAGTAAATTTTTTTTCTTCTACTTAGCGTAACGCAAAACACCAGTTTTCTCAATCGTGACTGCTTGCGACCTTCCTCTAACGTTGTCCAACCAGGCTGAAATTTCTACTACGGATACTTGAAAGTATCCTCTAGAAGTGAAATCAACCGTTTTTGTTTTTGATTTTCTTATCCGAGTTTATCGGGTTCTGAAAGTCAACATCTCGGTTTTAGCTCTGAACCTTTACGTATTTCTCTCATAAAAGAAAAGAAAATCAGATGTTCGAAAATGCTCAAAGATACCTCTGGGATCTATTCTAATGTATCTTCAAACAAATTTTCAGCGAGATCGCATTAAACTTGATGAAGATCGTAATATACTAGGATGTAGTCCTATGGAAAATCGGAGTTTCCTCGACAACTCTCTTGAAAACTTTTTTGCTTCGAACATATATCTCCTTATTCTAGGCATTTTATCTATGAAAAAAATGGCATATAACGAAATGGTTAGAGAAAATTTAGGCAATAACTGATATTTATAATAACAAGCGAGAACATTTACATTGAAAAATCAATTTTCGCAACAGAATGAGCACAAAACTTACTATCCAATTGTTTTAACCCTTTTATACTCAATAGTAATGCCAGAAGAGTCATTAATGAAACGATTGTTAGAATGAAACTTTGATGTCGCCGATAGATCGGTTAGGTGCGCTCTTATTTATGATGACGGCAGTTAGGTCATTCAAGTAACCATCAGAGAGAAGAACGATTGGACAAAAATTCTTTCTAAGGTCTTCCATAAACCTGATGTAGTTCTACCAAAAAACTATTTCATTTTATAGAGAATGACTTGCTCTACCATTTCGTGTAATGTGAGTAAATGTTATGCCCAAGCATTTGGTACTTGAAAACTAAAGATTTAGTTTTCTAGGAAAATCCATAGTCATCATTCTGTGTTTCACTATCTCTTCTCTAAGTAAATTTTGTGAATTGTCCAAATGGAAGAGCCAAGTGAACAACTTTGGACTGGCAGACAATTCTTTTACTTATTGTAAGAATTTTTCTATTTTATTGTAGGTTCACTTTCGAATATGGATACTATTCAAGAATGGTTTAGTGAAGTACGAGAACAATTGACACATGTTTTACATGATAAAACATTTGAACATGATACACAAGCAGCAACTGGTTCAACTACAGGTGATTGGTTTATTCTTTTGTATGTAAAAACTATTTTTTGTTTTTTTTGTACGGATATAATTATTCGTTTTATTTTTAGTAAGAAAACTAATGATTCACGTGGTTTAATTCCTGTATGGGAAGCTATATCTCTTCAGTAAATATTCACTTAAATAGATTTAAATTGTTTTTAAGAGAATTCTTTTCGTTTATTTGTATAGCTTTCGAAATCGAGTAATATTTGCTTATGTTAATGTAGATACAAATCCAATTATACAAAAACGTTTTCATCTATTTCATTTACCTACTATTATATTGTAAGTTTGAAATGAATTTAAAACAAAGCAAAAATAAAATGAGATAAAAATTTCTTTAATATCAGATTTAAACAAGGAAAAATGTATCGTTATGAAAGTGCATCATGGAAACAAACAGCATTCGTAGAATTTATTGAAAATGGCTATCAAAAAGTAAAAGGTGAAATAGTACCGGTTGAACCGAATGCTTTGTAAGTCTATACTACAGTGTTGTTTTTTTTTAATGAATCAATTTTCTTTAGTTCATTGTTTTCTGAAAAAGCAGCTAAAATAATTCCAGTAATTATTTTTTGTAATATTTTTTTTTTATCATTGTGGGTTTTTTTTCTTTATAGATGTATTTAGTCGTCATACCAATGGTATGTCTTGCTGCTGTTCTTCTTGTTCTTGTTGGTGGTTTTACAAAGAAAAAGAAAACAACAACTGAACGAACATCGCTTCAAGTTAAAATCGATTAATTTTATTGTTTTTTTTGTTATTGTTATAATTTAAGAAAAAAAGACCATAAAAGAATCTCCTATTATTCGACTTCTAGTATAATTTTTCTATAATAACATTTTATCTATTGATAAGTTCTTTTTTTTTTAATCAATGGATATAAAAATAATTAATTATAATATAATGCAACAAGGAAAAAGGGTATAATTAAGATTTTTTTTCGTTGTGTTAGTTCTTGTCAATAAAATAATTTTAAAACAAGAAAACGATTACGTTATCAATAATTTTTTCGTCAAAGTCAATAGTTTAAACACACATACACACGCTATGTATGAAATTTTCTTAAATAGATTGTTTTACTAATTGTTAGTCATATTTATCATGTTAAAATTTCGCACAACTAACAAGAGACGTTTACCAACTGATTAATCGCTTTGGAGTTCGAACCATGAATGCCTCGAAAAGAGCGCGAGTCCTTAACTTATTGCTGCTAAGATATTGTATTTTTACAGCTTTTTTTAAGCCAATACTATGGTCCTCCTCGACCACACTATGAAAATTCGGAAATTTTTTACAGAGACAGATCTTGACCAAAATAATTTATTATGAAAATTTTCGATTTTTTAATTTGCTTGTTTCCTGAAATAAGAACATCGAATCTACCGATGTACGTAGGCAGTGTAAAAGATAAACTTTGACTATTCTCGATAAGCTCAATCTGTGTGCAAAGTTTCTAGTTGAAATTTGAAAATCAGGTTTCCTAGTGCTCCTGAGAGAGACCACAGCATTAACTAGAAAACTATCATAAAAATGTGCAGTATCTTAGCAGCTATAACCTAAGAACCGAATCTCTTTTCAGTGTAATTATAACTCATTAGGGTCTACATGAAATAGATAGTCTCGATTTCGAAGAAACAATGAATATATCGTCATTTATTTGAATAAAAAATTTTTTTATCATAATTAAAATCGATTGCTATTACTATTTTTTTTCCTATGTGTATGTTTTTTTTACGGGTCAATCAAATTTTGATGAACAATATAAAATCGAATTTCATTATAACTACAATATATTAATCAGGTTTATAATATCAATTCTCAAAATAACAATGATAGTCTTATTGATGAATTTGATTAACAAAGTAATCTTAATTAGTAAAGCATATATCAAATTAATTGAATTTGTTTTAAACCATCGAAATATTACTGTCTGTTTTTTTTCGTCTTAACGATTTTCTCTCTCTAAGTGTTTTTTTTAATTAATTATTATTTTAAATAAAGAAAAAAAACAAACTTTTGAATTATCCAATCATATAAGTTTTATATCTAATCAAGATCAGCTATAAAATCATTTGGATTCGATCCATCTAGATTGTTTGTAGAATGTGATATACCATATTGATCATCAGGTTTTGTACGATAAGCTTCTGATCGACCAAAAAGTGCATATGACATAAATATCCAACCAGATATACTTAAAAATGATAGAATAATAATTGTAATTATTGTACTAACTGATGATGTATCATGAAATTCAATTGTTGAATGAATAGATTCTATTGTTGTATTTTTTAACAAAAGTGAATTATTGACAATAATCATTCCATACGAAGAAAAAAAAAGAAGAATGAATACGACGAATAATAATTAAAGATTTTTTAACATTATAATAATATTTATTATTAACATAAATGTATATCTAATTTTCTTTGGAAATATCAAGTAGAAATTGACTTCTATTGTACTATATAGAGTTGTATCTAATTATATAGTAACAGAGAAAAAGATAGATGACTATATAAGTGCCAGCAACAGAAAATATGTAATCTCTACAAAAGAAATATATATATATGTATATGACAAATGAGCTACGTCTTGTAATGATAACATCTTGAGAGGATTACTGTGTATTGCAAACAATATTAATGATTCTCGTTTATTGTTATAAGTCAAACTAATGACGTCATCGATCAGTTGGGCTTCTCATTAAGTAGATACTAATGAACTATTCATCGGAGCAAAAGCTAAAAAAAAATTAGTCTGTACACACCCACACACACACACTCAACTTAACATGTCAATAACAGTATATTGACTTCTGTATATCGTTAGGAGTGAAGAAAAGGTCGTCGATTCATTATAGTTATATGTTCTACAGTACAAACAGATGATAAGTTTTTGCCAATTAGTTAGATTAAGGCAGTGACAAGAAAGATAAAAAACGACAGAAATCAATTAATTATAAAAATGATTTTGATTAATTACTCGGTTTTTCGATAGAGACATCTGGCTATGTTGATGAATAAATAAAATAGAAAAATATAGACGGCAACAATTCTCTCAGACTTTGTTTTTTAATATATCAATTTGTTCATTTTAATGAAATTTTAGAGGTTCAAAGTTTATTCTATTGTTATTAGGATAAAAATTTGCATTTTATGAGGTATAAAAATAACGAAAATAGTAGATCGAATATTCTTTAAGAAAAAAAAAACATTCACTGGTCGAATAACGATCACAATTTCATACGTCAAACGCAAACATCATGGTAGCGATTAATAGAAACAGTTCAGATTCAGACGCGATCGGATCTGCTTTAGAAAATATCCATGTGATGCTGATTTGACATGTTTTCGCCGTAATAAATGATATTCATCACGTTAATACAATCGTCTAAGAAATCTTCCACTAGTAATAGCATCAACTATTATAGCCGAATGGGATCAATACGGAGGTGAAGTGTAGCTAGGCTCGACAATATGTGCAGCTGGTTATGTCCGATGTGTTTATTATTCTCATGTGAGTTCATTCTAAAAAGGATCTTCACTAATCTCATATTGATGCTATAGTGTCGTTCTGTCTAAAGAATATACTATGTCTTGATCTATTTGAAAGTTTCCTTTTTTTTTTTGAATATGAATCGGCTGAATTTGTATCGCACTAGTAACTGCATCGGCATCTACTCCCGGTTGATCCTGTTCTTTAACCTGCCTAAGGAAGATGCAACAATGTCCACAATGCAATCAGTCTCGCAGATATTGCTTGTCTTAGAGACAATAATTTCCATTCGAAATGTCATTCATCTTATCCATCAACATATCTTAGTGAAATTACTCATCAAGCGAGTACTCATATGTTAGGAAATACCGCGAGAATTTATGAGTACTTCTATATAACTTTAATGATTTATATAAAATACTCATGAATCTATATTGTGTTTAGTATTACCGTATTACATCCATTTTATTTAGATATAAAATTAAATAACAAAAAATATATACATACATACATAATGATAATTCGAGAAAACAACGAAAGAAAGCGAAATATTTCTTTTTTTTTCATATAATAAAAATAAGCTTCTACTCGAGTGAAACATCTTTTGGGATGTACATGAGATACTTAAGTTTCTGGACAAAGAAAGTAATGCGCTATGGATAAATCTTGAGGCCTTTTTGCGAACTCAAGCACTTGAATTTCTTATTTGATTGCGTTAACATTCTTATTCATGCGCTTGAGTTCTTGTTCATGTACGTGTAATGTACGTGACTATTGAAGATCATTTCTTTTCGACCTCTTCAATCATCTTTCCAATATCGATATCGTTAGTCACTAATCATTTAACGTAAAGAATATATAGGCAAGAGAAAATGAAAATATCGATACTACTATGAATAGGCTTTTTCTGTGGCAAACATGACAATGTGTTGACCATAAAAGAAATAATGCACGAAAATTGTTTGTTCAGGCAACAAAATAAAACCACAATTGTGAACTAGATGGTATTCGAGCATGACTCGAATGCGAAATACGATCCAAAGTACGAATCTCGAATTTCAAAGAAAAACGATACTTCATAAAAATTGAATAATTGCTTTAAGGATTTATCGTAAATCGTGTTGTTCCTGCAAATGTTAATGTTTTATTTGAACCAGACAGTTTTTGTTGTTGTAGATCGAAAAAATTACATTTCCATCAATTAATTGATCCAACTTTCAACCAGCGTGGAAAAAAGTAAGAATAATGAAATTCATCACTAGTGGAACTCTATCAACGCCTATGAACAGATTTTTAAACAATACTACTGATTGATCGTTTAATTATTTATATGTTTCATTATTTATAAGCAGCTGTATTCTTATAAATAATGCAAAATAATCGAACATGTGTATCAAATTATAGTTGTAATCAACATCGTTGTGGTCCACCAAATGAATGATGTATACCATGATCTGCAAAATGTAATGCCGGTAAGTATTTAGTCTATTTTGTACATTTAGAGAAATGTTTTTTTTTTTTAGTTAATGATTGTGAAGATGAATCCTTATATGTGGGTGTGGGTGTGGGTGTGTAATTTTTCTCTGCAGCGGTAACCACGCCCACCTGCACTCACACCCACATCTACCCACACCCTTTTGAACTAAACCTCGTCAAATAATGAACAATAATTATAATAAGAAAAACGATACAATTTTTGTAGAGAATTAAAAGACGAACGTTTTCATTAAAAAAATAATGTCAAAACCGACAGATATCGAAAAAGATACCCTCAAAATACTGAGAGGCCCATTTTTTCTGGGACACCCGATATTTTTCTCAAATTCATCTTCTGGTTACCGTGTTTCAGTCATCCATTCTATCAAATCCGTTGTGGACAAGCACCAAAGAACCTTATTCG